AGACAAATAAACAGTTTCCGATTGGAGTGTTGTAGTCGAAGTTGCCACCGATGATTGTAGGGCCGAGATGCACAATGAGACTGCCCATGTAGATTATGACCATGCCGAATAGAACGCACGAGTTGCTCGTTTTCAATCTGAAGATGTTGTTGTTGTTGGTGTTTGGGTTGTTGTTTGGGTTGTAGTTGCGTAGAAAGTTGTTTTTGTTGTTTAGGTTGTTGCTGCTGTTTATGTTTGCACTGTTAAGTTTGTTTGCCTTCTCATCGCTAGATTGAATGTTTCGTTCTTGGTAATTAAAATGTTCGAGACGACGATTGAATGCTGTATGCGTGCTGCTGTGGCTGTGATTGTTGTTGTTGTTGCTGCTGTTGTTGCTGCTGTTGCGGTTGAAAGTATTTTCATTTCTGTAGTTGTTGTTTTCGTCGTCGTTGTCGATAATAAGTTGGCATGTATCGAGACTCATATTTAAATTTTTCACGTTAAAAAATTGCTGACTGTCATGTTTATCGCTAGACAGATGTACGGTTAGACCGTCGCTGCAACCGCTGCTGTTGCTATGCTTAGACCCTATATTAGTGACGTTGTTTCTACTGAAAGATGCTATATTACTGTCAGTATTGTAAGATGTAATGTTTTCGTCACTATTTGAAAATAAAGTTTTTAAATTTTCTTTCATTTTAAAACCGGTCCCGTCAACAAAAACATCCACATCACGGCTTCTTCTACTACCATCGCCATCGTCATCAAATCGTTCGTTGCTTCTCCTTTTTGATATCTTTTTGTGAGCATCGGTTCTACTCGACATCGCGTGGTCGGTATGAAATTGATGGAACGCTACTCGATACTCGGTCGAATGTTTATTTGATGGGCAGGCCATATCCCGGGATGTTGTACTAAAGGTCGATTCGATGATATTTTTGTTAAAAATCCTACTTGTTCCTTTCTTAAATTTATTTTTATGTTTTCTTCCGTAGCCATCTCCAAGAGCGTTCTCGTTACGAGCGGTTTTATTGTTTTTGCTAGCGGCACTCCCACCATTATCGCCACCATTCCTGTTAATCTTCAATGAATTGCACTCATTGACAGCGTATGTCTTGAACCTGACATCGCTCATCTCGCAACCACTACTATACTTGTAATCAGCAGTAGCAGCAGTAGTAGCAGCAGTAGTGGCAGCAGTAGTGGCAGCAGTAGTAGCAGCAGTATTGACAACACGCCGACCACCACTATTATTATCTCCATTACTACCAACGCAGCAGACTTCCTTCATCTTGAACTTTCTCCTAAAATCTCTGACACTTAGCTCGCTGAACCTGTAAGCTTCACAACATACCATAGCTACCAAATTGAAGCCGCTTGCAGTAACCACAAGAACGTAGCATGCGGCCAGTGCGGCACAGTGTGGCGGTTGCTTCTCTCGTATTAAACTCACGCCGAATGGATAACAAAGTAGACATTTGAATGAGTCTAAGAGACATGCATGTCCGATGAACGCTCCGCCTAAACTTCGCCGAAACCTGGACCTCAATAGGATCCTGCTAAGGACGAAAATGTTAAGGATGATTCCGGAAGTGGCGATGACGAAGAGGAAGAAGATTTCGTCGATGATTTGGGAGGCAGACTGATGGCGGAAGGATAGAGTTGTGGTTGAGTGGATGTTCGGGAAGTGGCTGGGGTCGTCGTCGTCGTCGTCGCTGCTTAAACTTGGGTGAAAGATGCCGTACTGAGACATTTGTTTTAGTTTTGTTGCTGCTGTCTTTGTTGTTGTTGTTGTCGTTGCTGTAATTCCCTGTTGTCGTTGTTGTAGCAGTTGCTGTTGTTGTGGTTGTTTTAGTTTTGTTGCTACTGTCTTTGTTATTGTTGTTATTGTTGTTACTGCTATTGTTGTTGTCGTTGTTGTTGTAGCCGTTGCTACCTTGTTGTAGTATTAGTTGTTGTGATTTTTGTTGTTGTTGTAATCTCCAAACAAACCCGAAGTATTTATACACAATTAGAAAATGATCATCACACAAGGATTAATTAGTATTGGTGATGTTGATACGCTGATGATGACGATTTTACATCCACAAGAACGGTGACGCTTTCAAGGTTAATTATTAATACAACAACAATGACGTCATCTCTGTTTATAAATTTTCCGAGAATGTTGGATGACGAAAATAAAATTCTGCTTATATCCTTTTGTCGTAAACAGCAAATGTTTCTTTCATCAAACACTCTTTAAAAATTTCTGGTAAAGTATATATGTGTGTGTAAATATACGTTTGTTTGTATATTTGTTTGTATGTATATTTGTATATTTGTTTGTATGTATGTATGTTTGTATGTATGTATGTAGATGGGTATGTGTGTGTGTGTGTGTGTGTGTGTGTGTGTGTGTGTGTGTGTACCAGACTGTTTTTTAATACTTATAAATTGCTTTGGTAAGGCTGTGTGCGGTTTTATTTCACAGTTAAATGCATTTCTCGATTTTTAAAATAACTCTGCACTCATGCATACAAACAAACATACATACATACATACAAACAGACAAACATACAAACATACATACATACATACGAACAAACAAACAAACAAAAGTACAAACATTCAGACATACAAACAATATACATACAATATCACCTCAGAAGTTCGTATAGATATATATATATATATATATATATATATATATATATATATATACATGTATGTCTATATACGTGTTTAGGCCTTTGTATGTATTAGTATATATCTTAGAAAAAATTATAAAAATATTATAAATTATAAATTATAAAAAATATTAACTTTAATATTAATAGTATATATCTTAGAAAAATTATAAAAATATTATAAATTATAATTTATAAAAAAATATTAACTTTTATAACTCCTACAAATGTTGACACAAATACTAGGAATGTAAGACATAATCAAACCACAAAAACAATTTAACAATTGGCTACTGAAACATGAGCGCTGATGGCACTGGAGCACATCTTGAGAATCTTCTATAGGCAATTTTTCCACCCATGTTTAGCGCTTCTATGTGCAATACATCATGTATGTATGTATGTATAAATGTATGTATGTATGTGTGTCTGTGTGGTGTGTGTGTATGTTTAAATATTTGTTTTTGCCTAATTTTTTCATAATTTTTTGCTCGAAAACTGACCATCATAAAATAGAGAAAAAAAACATTTAAAAAATCATGGCTCGCTCAGATCACACATAAATATTGAGTGAATTTGTATGCGCTTATAAAACGTACAAACACACACATACACACAAACACACACACACATACCTACAAAAAACCACACACACACACACGCATAGATACACGTATGCATGTTCACACACACACACACACACACACACACACTAACATACACAAACGTGCGTCAAGTTTGATACGACGTAACGTGGCGTGAACTTGTTGCAAGGTCATGGAGAATTAATGAGGTCAACAATATGTCAATAGTAGTAGTAGTAGTAGTAGTAGTAGTAGTAGTAGTAGTAGTAGTAGTAGTAGTAGTAGTAATAATAATAATAATAATAATAATAATAATAATATCGACAATTTTGAAAAAAAAGAAAAATAAATAAATTAAAAATAAAATTTCAAGACCATTTGTTTACCGATGGCCAACATTTTTTTCCTTATTTAAACTTTTATTGCTGCCCTGATCACGTGATGAGGACCGGTTTATTTACTTCCGTCTGGGTCACGTGTTGTCACGTCATCATCATTATTTGGCGTCGTGCCGGAATGTTTCAAAAATTATTCTACCTGTCTCCTCCTCTCTCTCTCTCTCTCTTTCTCTCTCTCTCTCTCTTTCTTTCTCTCTCTTTCTCTCTTTCTCTTTCTCTCTCTCTCTCTCTCTCTCTCTCTCTATTTTTGCTCTTATAATACACAAATGCATACGTACAGGACAAACTATTTACAATCCTTCCTTTCAAAAAATTTCAAAACGTCACAAAGTAAACATCTTACTTCTGATTGTTTGTTGCTATTGAAATGTAAACAAAGGGATCCAGCCAGTACTGTTTTAATAGTTTTTTTATAGTTTAAGAAAGAATTAAAAAATATAAGTCTGTCTGTCTGTCTGTCTTTCTGTTAGTCTGTCTGTTTGCGAAAATGAGGGATAAGAAGATTAAGTCAAAATTCCAAAGGGTTTCTTTGAACGATCTTCAGGTTGTTAACCTTCTCAATAATAATAATAATAATGATAATAATGATAATAATAATAATAATAATAATAATCTCATCATTAACACGCTCACACACGCACACGCACACACACACGCGCACACGCACGCACGCACATACACTGACACAAACGCTTAGAGTGATCCGTCTGACGTAGCTATCAACACGTGGGCCGCCTTCAGGATGGCAGCCCTGACTGAGAAGAAACACGCACTTCAAGAACAGAAACGACTGATGAAGGGCAAGAGGAAGGCCGTCATGGAGGAAATGGAACGGCAGAAGGCCATGCTGATGGAGGAAGAAAATGAAGGGATCAATTGGGATCAGTGGGTTGAGTTTGTGTGTGTGTGTGTGTGTCTGTGTGTGTGGATTTATGTGTGATTATCGATGGTTTTGTTTTTGTTTCATCATCAGCATCATCATCATTATCATCATTATTATCATCATCGTCATCGTCATCATCGTCATGACAGACTGCACCAAGCTGCAAACCCGACAATGGAAGAATCGGAGGAGAGCTTGTCACCGGATCCTGGAACGTTATCTTTACAGGAAAAGAAGAATCTAGAACATAAATCATCCATCGTCAATGGTCTTTGATGGTGGTGGTTATTGTGATCATGATGGTGATGTTGATGATGATGAAGCTGCTTTTTCCGCTGCTGCTGATGATGATGACGACACTGATTAAAATGACAATACTGTGATCATAATTTCAAAGTGATAATTATGCCGGTTACGATAATGATGATGAGGCAACAGCAGCAACAACAACAACAACAACAACAACAACAAAAATAATAATAATATAGGGCCGATAATAAGTTTCCACAACATTACGTACGAGGTGACGTCATGGTATGGCGCCTGTAACTGTCATAGAGTCAAGAGGACGGTCCTCAATAATATATCGTTTGTGATTATTATCATAATTATTATTTTTTTAAATTTATTCAACACTTTTTCCAACTTATCCAACATTTTTTCAAATTTATTCAACACTTTTTCCAACTTATCCAACATTTTTTCAAATTTATTCAACACTTTTTCCAACTTATCCAACATTTTTTCAAATTTATTCAACACTTTTTCCAACTTATCCAACATTTTTTCAAATTTATTCAACACTTTTTCCAACTTATCCAACATTTTTTCAAATTTATTCAACACTTTCTCGGTTTCTTTCCACTGCAGTTTAAACGCATTCGCGAGGCTTTCCATCCTTTCATCTCATATTCATTTTCTCCACCAGGGGTTTGCTACTTCCTGGAATGAACGCCATCATGGGTCCCACAGGCTGTGGAAAATCAACGTTAATTCTTTCATTCCTTCATTCATTCCTTCATTCATTCATTCATTCATTCATTCATTCATTCATTCATTTATTCATTCATTCATTTATTCATATATTCATTCATTTATTTATTCATTTAGTTATTCATTCATTCGTTCGTTCGTCCGTTCACTCACTTGCACTTGTTCGTTTGTTTGCTGGTTCATTCATTCATTTGTTCGTTTGTTTGTTCGTTTAAACATTCACTCACTCAATTACTCACTCACTCAATTACTCACTCACTCAATTACTCACTCACTCACTCACTCACTCCTCACTCACTCACTCACTCACTTACTCACTCACTCACTCACTCCTCACTCACTCACTCACTCACTCCTCACTTACTCACTCACTCACTCACTCACGCACTCACTCACTCACTCACTCACGCACGCACTCACTCATTCACTCACTCATTCATCCATTCTCAACAGTCTCTTGGATATTCTGGCAGGAAGGAAGGACATGAGGAAGGTTCAGGGGACAATTTTAGTAAATGGATACAAGCAGCCTGAATATTTCAAGTGCATAACGGGTTACGTTGTACAGGTATTTGTGTGTGTGTGTGTGTGTTTGTGTGTATCGGTGGGTATCTGTATGTATTTGTGTGAGTATTAGTGTGTATCTTTGTTTGTATTGGTGTATATCTTTGTTTGTATTAGTGTGTATCTTTTATTGTATTTGTGTGTGTGTATAAGTGTGTATCTTTGTTTGTATTTGTGTGTATCTTTTATTGTATTTGTGTGTGTATTAGTGTGTATCTTTGTTTGTATTTGTGTGTATCTTTTATTGTATTTGTGTGTGTATTAGTGTGTATCTTTGTTTGTATTTGTGTGTATCTTTTATTGTATTTGTGTGTGTATTAGTGTGTATCTTTGTTTGTATTTGTGTGTATCTTTTATTGTATTTGTGTGTGTATTAGTGTGTATCTTTGTTTGTATTTGTGTGTATCTTTTATTGTATTTGTGTGTGTGTGTATTAGTGTGTATTTTTGTTTGTATTTGTGTGA